TGTACTTGCCACTATTGCCTTGGCAGAGTGCTTTTAGTTGTTATTGCTACTGTTAATGTCACCATCATCATCATCACTATTTTGTATTTCCATTTCCATCACCAGATCATCACCATCATCCATCGTCATCATTATCATCATCGTCATCATCATCATCACTACTATCATCATCATCATCACTACTTCTACCATCATCACCACCACCTACCTCCATCACCACACCTCCTTTACCATCACCACCACCACCACCCTCTACCTTACCTCCTCATCACCACCACCACCACCTCTACCTTTACCTCTACCTCCATCACCACCACCCCAACCACACCACCACCATCACTTCTCAAAATGAACCACCCTTTACCTTTTTCCTACAGACACAGGAAACCACTGGATGCGGTATTTAGAATCCACCTACCTGGAGAAGGGCGTGGAAACAGCTGGGGAAATATTCGAAAAACACCTGCAAAGTATCGCACCTGTAATTACTCGTCTCGCTCGCACAACACCTGTTATCTTCAAAATGCAAGATGATCTCCAGGTATCTTGGGGAATAGGAGTACTAGTGCTTTATAGTTAATATGATACAGAGTAGTAAATGTGTGTGTAGATATATGTATATAAACACACACACATACACACACATACACAGACACAGAGAGAGAGAGAGAGAGAGAGACAGAGAGAGAGAGAGGGAGAGGGAGGAGGGAGGGAGGGGGGTTGCCTTGATCAATTGGTTTCCTGAATAAATTACTATTGTCAATGGCATCAGCTAAACATCAACCATATAGACCTGAAGGATTGAAGATACCTTACCTTGTCAAAAAATGTATCATTGATCATACCAATTATTAGATTGCCGTTTATTATAAAATTACTATACTCAGTAAGTGATGTTCTCTGGTTAGTACTATTTCAGTAGTAGGAAACGTTTTTTGTAATTATATTTAAGATCTAACTTTTAATGAATCTGGAGACCATACGCTCAAACAAACCATCATCATCAGTATATTGTGTGATAAATAGGGAGATAAAAGAAGACTGGGGATTGGAAAGGGAGAAGAAGTGGGGATGAGGAGACTGAGTGATAAAGGGCAAATAGGGACTGCCAAGCTTACTTCACTCACTGAGCGTGCTGCAAGTGCCTTGATACTGTACTTGTCCTGTTCTTAAAGCTTTAAGATTATCATTTATCAATAAAGGAGACGCGTCTTCAACCCCCAAGGGACTTTGTATATAAATGGGGAATTATACTTTGGTATTTCCTTGCAGAAGCATTGTGCATCGTTTTCTTTTAGGTACTGTGCTGAACATATTTTTGTTTATTTCGTTTTATACAAGCTGTGGTCTGTAATATCGCGGCGAACAAAGAACTAGATTTCTTTCGCTGGTTCTAAAGAATCGCCATGGCAGGAGAATCATATGTTCCCTCCGAGCTTCTAGATTTTTAGATGAATATAATAGTTGCCCGTTTTCAGTGGTAGGCGTACAGCTTAGCTTGAAAAGGTCATGTTCTTGACCCACAAAAGACCGTATCATGATATGCAGGACAACTCTGCCTGCCTCCTGCCCATAACACAATCCCATCATCTCCAGTTGTGGTGGACTTACTTGTCTGAGTTTCTACATAGACCTGACCAGTTTCAAATGGTACATAACCCTTTTCTGATAGTTGGCTGATATTCAATTTCAGTTTTTTTATTCAGTTTTAGAGAGCACCTGTATAATGCGAAATTATCGAGGGAGGGGTCTTCAAACCATTTATTAAGGACAGATAAAGTTATAGATGAGGATGGGGCTATATTGTATCCACTGGTTTGTCTTTTAGATTGCTGGTGTCGGTCGAATCTGCTCAAACATTTCATATCTCTACTTTTAAGACCAGCTTTGAGCGTCTTGTTAATAAGCATAATTCTAAGCGGCAGTTGCTTCACAAGTGTTTTAGCTGATAAATAGCTTATCGTATTATTCTAAGAAGTTTTTCTTTATTCTTTATATCATGTAAGCGCATGCCTCAAAGAGATGGAGACCTTTCCAGGATAAGGTTTTATGTATACAGATTAGTAAAGAGAAGGACTTTTTGTTGACAGAGGATTTCATTTTTACGTCAAGACTAGCAGGAGTAAAATTCTCGTGCCAGCAGGGAATTGTGCTTATGAACCCAACATGATATTCATTAGCAACATAATAGTGGCAGGAGTGAATATATTTTGCAAAACTGAAAGGATATACTTATTACCCCATCATCACTGGCTAAATATTGTTCTTATATCAATGAAGGAAGCAAGATAAACATCCTGCGATATCTTCCAAAATTAATAACTACAATAAGAGTAAGAAGAGAGATTGCCAAAAACAATTTGAATACACACCACTACAATGACCGAAATAAGAACGAAAAATAACAATAACACTCTCTTTTCCTAGGTGGCTTATATCGAGGACCCAAAAGTGAAATCCTTCACCGTCGACAACATCCGCCATTACAACGCCCTCTATAAACAAACCCTGAAGAATACCGGCGTCGTGTTTTGGGACAGCACGTTGCCTCTCTCCCGCGCATACAACCAAGAATGCCTCAGGAACCCAAGACACTTCAGGGACACGCTGTGGTGGATGTGCAAGGATGTGGTGCATGTGGGGTATATTCTGGTGCGCCAGTATGCGGATATGGTTCTCAATGCTGCTTGTGGTCGAAGTATGAGCGACTGCAGCTGAAACCGTCTCTTGCCTGACGTTTTCTACAGCCAGTAACCATTTATTATCCTCTTACTTTATTTATTCATGTCATATTTATACAACTGTTCTGTCTGAAGATAAACTTTTTAGAGGTTATATGCTACAATTGTGTACATATAATTATATTTATATGTGTGTGTGTGTGTACATATATGTATTTAGTTGTACATATCTATGTGTATATGAAAAATCATTATTTTTATAACGAACATTGATATTTTGTGGTGTCTATCGGTTACAACGGGCCTTGGATCTGCACCTGATAGTCTGCACACAAATAAGTGCTGGGACAATCTCCTACTGCCAGAGGTGACTCCTTGCACCTTGTTCTACACCCATCGAGACCGAGGTTTTCACCCGGTAACTGTCCCTTCTCGTGTTGCGTCCTCACTTTTGCAGTGGCGGTGGATTGCCCTCTTTATTGCCCAAACGTGGGAGGGGTTATTTGAAAGCCAAGCTGGTGCCCACGCAACAATCTCACTTATCCACGTCACTGATGTAAATTGGAGAAGAGCAAATGGCCATGTAGCTCATGGCACTGAGAGAATGAAGTAGAAGTCAGTGACAAACTGTCTCATGGACTATATCTCTCTTATTAAAGTACAATCGGCTACCAGGAAGGAACACCAAAGCACCATGTATATATGTGTGTGTGTGTATAAAGAGATAAATAGATAGTTACCTTATATTTATTACATACATATATATATTTGTAATCCTAAGTTTTGGAGCATAGGAAGTAAGTTTAGATAGTAGCGGTTACCGAATGCCTTGCTGTCAAACCTTAAAGTAATTTACCTGCTTTTTTCATTAATTTATTCATAGTCACCTCATAAACACCAGGAATAAATAATTATATTATTTCGTCAGAAGAAATTTTAATTGATTGTCTTTCTTGCTGTTCACAGGAAAGTTGTATTGTTTTCGTTTGCGGATGTTAGCAGTTTTTTTTCCATATTGTATGTTGCCCAAAAAACTGTTTTTGTTAATTAAGAGAATACAGTCAAACGAAACCTGGTCCTACTGTTATGCATAGATGGATGATGTTAAAATGGCTAGGTGGTTGGCCAGGTTTCCATCTTAATCTCATCCCATTTTTTTTTCACTTACCAACCTCTGCCTTTTCCCATACATGTTACAGCACCCAAACTAAGTGATTATAAGTTGGCTGGATATGTGATAGGTCCATGGAAAAGGACGCAGAGCAGGCCCAAGAAATATTAAGTAAGCAAAAAGAAAAAAGGAAACAAAAACGTGGAATGTATGTCAGTCATGTCATACCATGAATTGTAGTATTCATGGTATGAATAGCTGGCTGAAAGTCAAATAAATCCAGGGGATATATTATATTAATTATTGTTGGTTAGAAAACCGATGTCTGATTATCTGAGTGTACAAAATTAGGGAAATGTTTTTGTCCAATTTATTAATATTCTAGTCCAGCTGTTCTAAACCCATTTGTCGTGATCTCGAGAGGGATTGCAATATTCTGGTTTATGTAGTTTTTTTTTTTTTTTTTTTTTTCTTTTAGTGGCATTTATATGCTGGCGCAGCGGTAAGGTGCTGGTCTAGCAATCTTGCGGACCTGCGTTCAATCCCACGCCCGGCCAGTGAGTGGTAACCCTGGCCACTCCTTGCACACAGGGGGAGATTTGGGCAAAATAAAACAGACAGTATGTCACAGCAAAGAATATCCATTGTAACAAATGGAATTAAAACTAAATCTTTAAAATCTTAACCTTTATAATAAATTTGATTCCTCATACTGTTTTTATTGTCATCACACAAAGTCCAGCGTTACAAAATTTGCAACATGTCTCACGGAAATCTCATAATTCATAGTGGAATGACGATTAATATTGATAGTAATAAAAGCGGGTGAAAATAGACGCCCTGGCGTATTTCTTAAATGTATCTCTGCTTCATCGCTGAACAGTTCAAGTTCCCTCCTTTGGATGTAAGGTAATGTACCTGAGAGGGTATATTACACGTTACCATTTAATTTCCGTTATGGAAGAGTGTATGTGCAATAATCTGACAAAGTCTCTTAAATATATCAATCAAATAAATCGCATGTTGTCGTCTTCATCATCAAATCCCCATCGCTGTTGTCTTTGCCACCGTCATTATATCCCCGTTATCATTATCACTTACTACAACAGTATTACTAGTTACTCTTAAAATCTTATTAATTCTTATAATAAATATAACAATGAAATTAATAACGACAATATACATTATCATAAATACAATAGATATGTGATCATGGGTTTCTCGTATAGACATAAGTAGAGCGCTGTATGTGAGCTTTCGGTTTATAAGAAAAAAATTCCAAACTGTCCAATTACTGTAATTTAAAATGGGAAAGCGAATATCACCAAGCGAATGATTAATCAACAAACGCTTTTGGGAAAACCTACATGAAGGCTTAGAGGATCAACTATTATATAAAATAAAGCAACATAGGTTTAGCACATGCTAGACCAAGGCAACATATATGGAAAGTGAACAGTCGAAGGTTCGTACGAAGTCCTAAGTGAGGGGGTGGGGGCATAGGAGGCGGAGACTAAGGCCCAGTGTATACGGTATTACCCTTACCATAGACCTCAGCCCTTGCCGTAACTATTTTTGCATGGTCTTTTCTTCTCCCCTTTTCCTTTTCTTTATCTCCTTCATTCCCTTCTGTCCACATCCTAAAGTGTGAGACCCAGCACGGAAGGATGAAAGGCCTTCCTATTCCGTTTGCTCTTCCCTCTTTTCCCATTTCACTACCATGCTACCCTACAGCGCTCCACATCTTTTGACATTTAACACAATTTCCCCTAAACGTTAACTCATGATTGACCTTTTTGCCATAATACTTTATCATAGTGCTGTATGACCTTTCCTCAACTGCGGCGACACCCTATCACTATATTTTGAATACACCGCTAGTGACCTTTGACGTTGACGCGGCAGAAACTTATCAATAAATACAAATAAGTACCGAAGAGCTAAACTGGTGCTTCGCTCGTTCAAACAGAAGGTGTCTCGAAATCGATCCTTTTAACATGATGTTTGGATACCCGCGGGGCTAACGGAAGAAGGGCGAGCGCGGTGGTGAAAGATAGAGAGAGAGACAGACAGACAGAGAAATGGTTCGAGAGCGATAGAGACAGCCAAACAGAGAAGAGTAGGAGAGGAAGCGATAGAGATGGACAGATAGAGAGAGGGGCAGACCCCTAATGAGGCGGCATTGATACTTTGAGAAATACAAGTTTGTAGTCTACACAGTAATAAGGTGGAAACTGTGCAGTAGCTCGCAAAAACTTTTCTAATTTTCTTGCTGTTAAAGATGTCTTTATTGTTAGACTCCCGACGGTTGATTCTGTCCATGAATAATTATTACTTCCCTCTATTTTATGGATATATCTAGTGATTAATAAATTTCTTATAAAACAGATTCGTATCCATTGAGAGACCCATGTCTACATCATAGATTTAAAGTACAATTTATGTAGAGAGTAATAGCTAGGCTATTGATTATTGGGAATTATAAATGATTAGAGAGAAATTTATCCTTGTAATCAAAGTAATCGATAGCGCCCACAGCTACTGAGCGGCAGGTAGAGAGGCTACTACAGTGACCTACAGACTGTTCAAGGTTTACGGTTAGTATGTTCTCTGTTTCGCCGTCATCCGCCCATCGCAGGGAATGAGACCACGAAGGTAGGTAGACTGAAAGGACAAAGTTTTCCAAAGGCTTCTTTCCTACCTCGGGATATTTCTTCTTTCCTACCTCGGGATATTTCTTCTTTCCTACCTCGGGATATTTCTTCACATGTTCTACTCTGAATTACTACCAGGATTGAGTTTTCAAAGATATGTTTGAGTCCCTAGTCTGAGCCATTACTACCACAATTGATACGAATGCGACACTCGAGCCTTGGTTTCTGCGTTGATTGGAATTTGTAGTGAATGATTACCTGTATATCACAAATTTATACAAAATTGTAATTAAGAATTATGGATTTGCAAATTTAGCAGAGGTAAAGACGTTGTTATGGTTAATGAATATGTTACAGACATCTTAATCCAAAGTCTGGGCTCCAGCATCGCATTCGAATGGCATGTGGTAATGGTGGTAACAATGGTTTCAAGTTTCAAAGATTACAGTCTGAAGGGTACCCAAGGCAGCTGTGCAAATCTCTCATATATGTCAGGAAAATAAGATTTAAAAGCACAGTTAACGGGAAGACAAATGATCTACAATGACTGGGTTTACAGTCTGATACGGCATTTGAACTAGAAAAACAAACATTCAATAGGGAAAATACGTACATCATCTATAAAGAGATCCATGTTTTGAGCTGATCTTCCTACTCTGAATCTATGTGCAGCATTATCTTTTTGTGCCTTAGACTATATCTGTTTACACAGTATGTGAAACCGTTGAGTTATCATTAATATATATAATGCAACTTTGAAATCATTTTGATTCATTCGCGAATTATGCATTATGATCACACAACATTAGACTTTTTATTTGATTTCAGTAAAATATTCTGATGTAGTCGTATTAATGGGATGGCCAAAATAAAAATTCCTTTGATTCAGTTAACCCGACCAACCGTATCTTTTGTCCCCCAAAATGCCGATTCAATTTATTTTTATCGCTAATCCAGTCTCCCACAACTCTAAAAACCTAATTTTCAAATATACCGCCAAAACACAGCCCTTAGCGCCACAACGGCTAGATTTCTGACTACCAAAGCACACTGAGCAAACCTCGGGACTGCAACACATCTATTGCCACAAGACCGGCGATACTGCTTGGGGCGAGCGAGCATCATTCCGGTGTCAAAATGGCAGCCCTCTGACTGACGCTTTCAAAAATAAGATTTGTATTTTGAATTTAAACCTCAGTTTTATTTTTCCAGTGTGACAAATAGGTCTGGGAGGAATGAATTAGAGTGAAATGGTGTCCGCGGACAGGTTCTTTACATCACTTAAAAGAAGAAGAAAAAAAAAAACCCGACCTATCGACCCACCTCCAGAG